ATGAATACACTCTATATCTCTTAATGAGAATAAAGCGTGTTAATATATATTTTTAATAGTAATTAGAATATATATTTACATGTAAAGTGTAGTAATACAAAAAAAATAAGCAAAAACGGTGAATGTATGAGGTATTTAATTTGACCAAGGTTGGATGTTAGGGATTTGGTCAATTCAGGAGCAACGAGGTTCTATCGGGGTAGTAGAGTCCGAGGGTTTAGAATAGTAAAGACAAGTAGATATAAAAAGATACAAATTAAGTTCCTCTCATAGAGGTATTAAAACGCTGAGGTATTCTTGTAGTGGCCGGGGTCTTGGCCTCCTATCTGACACCCAGTCGAAGTATATGACCAAGCACTAACTAGTTATTAATAATTAAATTAAATGATGTTTAAAAAAATCTATTGCTTTACCATTCTTTACTCAGATTATTAATTCTAAATAATTGGGTTAATATAAATTTACTTACTTCTTTTATATATCTAACGTTCAGATTTATACCTTTCCTTATTAATAAATAAATAACGTATTGACGCAAAAATAATTGTACTTGAAATCGTTATAAAATATACCGACGACAACACGGGGTCGCGGCTAGTTTGTTCAATATAAATCAAAATTGAAGAATCCTGAATTCTTTATTGAATTCAAATCTTCAAAAAGAAGAGAGAATTCTGCTCTCTTAGAAAATCAGCGCCTTTTTATATTACTTTTAATTAGCCCCATCATGGGTTGTTGCCGTCAGCGCTTTTAGTGATTTTCAGTTTATTGTGTAAAATTTGAACATAACATGATAATTATTTTTAAGATAAGATGCATAGTATACAATAATCAATTTAACATGTATATACATATATAATAGCTATTGTACAAATGTGTATATGTTATGACAGATAAAGTAATTATTTGTGTTGTATACAATTGGTAGTAAATATAGAGTAGTAATTTTTTATTGATAATGTAAGATGCGTAATGCAGAACATTGTGCATATTACGACATCCGCCCTAATTTTTTTAAGTGTTGTGCCCTCACAACTATAAGTATTTGTAAAGAAAATTAGTGTAATATAATCAAGAAAAATTATTTAAGTGATAATTAGTATAAAGGTTAAATAAGTATTTTTGAGTATAATAATATTATGTTGAATATTAGAAAAATAATTAATTAATAGTATAGTAATGCTATGATATATAGTTGTATAAGTTATTATAACAATAAAATAATATAGTATATGAATAAAATTATATGAGGTTAATAGTTTATATAAAAAAAATGATGTATAATAATGGAATAGTATATATAAAAATAGGTTGAATATTAATATTAGTAATATAATATTATAATAAGTTTGTGATAAATATAAGTATAATAGTGTAAATATGATATTTAGGATATGATAAATTATGTGAATATAATTTTATGATACACAAATTGTAATAAGTGATATAAATAAAGACAAAAAAAAATTTTATTATATATAATTTTTTTTTTTTTTTACGGTTTTTGTTTTCTAGACTTGCGTTTTCGATTTTTGCTGTTTTGATTGATGAGTGGATTTGGTTTTGGAAAAAGGTAGACCGTTTGTCCATAACGCCAAACGTAGAATTTAGTAGTGTCATATTGGATGTCTTTATCATATTTCATCATTATTGGTTTTTTTGTGTATTGTGGAGTTATAGACAGGAATGTCAAGAATTTCATCAGACATCTTACAGAGTGGAGTGACTTATATCTGGATAAAGGAAAGAGTGAACTTTTAATTGTGTTTGTGTTGTATCATTGTTTGCTGTGTTTATATTATTTAGCTCAACATTATTGGTGTTATAATGTTGTTGATGATTTTTGTGCATAAAATAATGAGTTATATTATTAAATATTCCACAGAATAATCTTAAACTCCAACCAAATGTATTATATAATAAGTGTACATTCATGCAAGAGTTAAT